AAGCGCTATCTCCTTATAATTTTAATCTGATGATTTTAATATTCGTATTCTTGAATTACGGTCTTTTCGTCCAAAAGTCTTTTCGTCTAAGTCTTTCCGTCTAAAAGTTTTTTCATCTAAGTCTGTTCATCTGATTGATCAGTCTTTTCTCGAAGCAAATAAATAACTTTTAGAAGGCTAGATAAGGCTATATAAAGAACTTGTTGGCGCGAGTCGTCGCCAATTTAGTTCCGATAGCTTTAGTCACCAATCCTCGTTTACGAATTCAACGTCGTAAATTACGATAAATACACAGAGAAGGTGCTTATTTGTGGTCACTTTTGGCTTAGTGTTATTTCTTTATCATGTTGGACTATGTTGTTGGTTATGTGGGACACTTAGTGATGTTACACTAAGTTGTGTATTGCGCCTAATAAACGCTTAACAACAAGCCTAATATTCTCATTTCTTTTGCGCGAAACAATTAAACGGCAAGTCTTTATTTTTGTCACTATTTAATAAAATATATCGCGTTACAACTTCATTTAAAACAATGTGATAACTTTGACGAAAAGACTTGATATTGGACGAATGGACCTTAGACTTCAGACGAAAAGACCGGATACTGTATTCTTAAGAGTTTAGGTGTCTAGGACTAGACTTTTCAATAAAGTTTGTTATCTTAAGTTTCATGTCTTATACAAACAAGCTTTAAGACGGTGGTAATATCAAAACCGTGTTTACCGACCTGTTGTTTTCCTGTCAGTCCATATCTTCCTATTGACTTGCGCATGTCCTCCACCTCTTTGATTTCAGGAAAGCACTTCATCATGAATGCCAGAGCTGACATGTCTAATTCTAACATATCTTGAAGATGCTGCAAAGCACAATGTAAAATTTCAAAGGTTAATCATACAACACCGCAACAAGTGTGACCATAACCATATTTTGTTGAAATTATGGAGCTTAGTGAGGAAAGTGCATTACATCAACTAAAATCAAGATATTTGCTGACAATTCTTCAAACCTGATGATAGCGGCAAATCTTGAGGTGATTATGCCTTCGTATAAGTCCATCAGTAGGTGTTAGTGTTCCATCAAGTAGTTTCAGCAGTGTGGACTTCCCTGCTCCATTGGGACCCACCAGAGCTATTCTGGACTCCAAGTCAATTCCAAAATCCAACTTCTTGTAAATGGCACGCTGAAAAAAAAAATCCATTACAAAAAAAAATCTGTAAATGGTGGGAACGAAATGGACTCTTGTCAGCGACATTTGACAGGGTAGATTAGATATCAGTTACTTTTTTTCTTTAAAGAAAGAAATGGCACGTGAACATTTGATTACTTGCTGAACGTTTCAACACAAATAGCTGTCGCTTGTACACGAATGTGCAGTGCGCTTTATTAGCCTGCTACCCCACCTTATCTTCTCCATAACTGAAGCTCATCGTTTGTACTTGAACAACTGGTGGGGCAAGCTTTCCACAGTCAGGAAAATAAAATGTCAAGACCTTTTGATTGAAAAAAAAAAATAAATAAATAAAAGATCCTTTAAATAAAAATTTTTCTGTTGTCACTGACTGAATAACTTTGTGTGAGGACGTTACGGTTAAAATACTATAACCTTCTACAGCAATAAAATGGCTATGAAAGCAAAGGAGTGCTTTGAAAAGAGCCGTAGAGACGTCACTTGGGATTGCCAAGGGCCTAGTAAATGTCAGGAATGTAAATGTGTTCATTAATGGCATTCGGTTCACAAATTGAATGCCACGCTTCTAAAATTGGTCTTTTCGACCATTGGGAACAGCGGTCAATGATCTTGACGTCCTCAAGGTCAAAATCATGATTGTATTTCATACAACGTTGGGTTGATAAAGAATTTCTTTCTTCCGTGAAAATCGCTCTCTTGTGTTCTCTAATCCTGAATCTTTATTGGTATAGGTCTTTGACTCTCTCTCTCTTTTTTTTTTTGTGCCCCATCAAGCAGCTGAGGCACGCATAGGCGCGTGTTTAAATGACAGATATTGTCGTAATACATGTTTATCAATATGGAAAATTTGTGCAAGGTCCAGAGTTGTCAAGAATACCTGATACTCGCTTTGAAAGATCACACCAGTACTACCAACAGTCAACTGTACACAAAAAATGTAGCTGCCATATTGAACATATTAAAATTTCATCTCAATTTTTGGCTTGTAAACGAGTGCAATAGTAAAAAAGAACAAATTACTCTATAATGCTGCAAGCCTAATTCTTTACCTTGTCTTTTACAACTTTTTCAGTGAGGCCACCAGCCACCATTTTGCTGAGGACCTTTTCTTTGCTTTGAGCCTGTCTAGCAAGCTTGGCACTACCATGCCCAAACCTGGCGATGTAGTCCTACAATCACAAAAACCAAGTTATCTGTAGCAGTCACTAGCATGGTTCACTGCTCAAATAAGTACTGACAAGCCTGATATTCTTGTGCATGCCCTATATGAACTGGATACCTTCAACCATCTTGGGCAAATCATGCATTTTGGAGAGGGTGCCAGGATTGTGAAGGGGGCTGGAAGCTCATGAATTTTTTTAAAACTTAATTCATAAATTTTACTACATTGACAATCATCCTCTCAAGTTTTAGGCCAGACAGACCGTGTTGACTCAATGTAGAACTTGATATTCTAGTCAAAAGTCTATTTATAGTCCTTTCACTCCCAAATCCCACTGATAATTTCATTATCATCTGCTATACAATTTTAAAGAGACTAGTCTGGAGAGAATTTGTTATTGGATCAATTAATAATC